ACCATCGGCTAGGGAGGTCAATCAGCACTACTAGTTGGCCTCTATGTTTTACTCACGGCAAGTCACTTTAAAATTCATTGAAAACTGAACATTGTCTGTGATATTTAGAAAAACAAGTGACTATTTTGCAGACTTTAATTGTCTTTGATCCTTTCAAAATTCAAAATCCAAGTACCGGTATCAGAGTTTTTTTTTGAAGACTTGAATGATCTTTAATTGAAAAGGTACGCTAGGTTTGTTGAAACTGTCATCAAGGTTTACAGGAAACATTGACTGTTAGCCTCAAGTGCATGAAGTTAGCTGACACGTGAATTGAATACAAAATATAAAAGCTCTGTTGAGAATTGTTGTCGGCCTACTCCCAAAACATCTGTTCACTGGACTTTCCCCTGGATAAAAAACACACTTTTGCCTTTTCTGATGCGTCAAAAACCCTAAAAGAAAAAAAAAAAGACTGCTGAAAAATCTGCAATGCAACGGGGACACTCTACGCCCAACTTGCCTGTTCGTGACACGCTTCTGGTGTTGCTGTTTGTGTGCAGTTCCTCTACCGCCACCGCAGAACCTTATGGAAGTTCAGGTTCCTGTGGTCGGGAACCACCAATGCGATTGCTACTATGGCGGAGGAGTCATCACCAACAACATGATTTGTGCCGGGCTGAGTGAGGGTGGAAAGGACGCCTGTCAGGTGACAAACAAATTCACATGCACATGTAGGATCAGGAATACATCAGTAAATACCTAAAGGAACCCGTTGTGCATATTTTAAGGTGTGGTCTCCATTTGTATTATCGGTGAGAACTTGAGCAGCAGAAAAAAAAAGTTAAACATGTCATTTCAGCAAGGCAAAGCACCCATCGCCATAAACGAAATGGCTTGAGCCAAAGATAAACCAGGAAAGAATTTCCGACATGCCTGTCAGAAGAATTTGGTCATGATTTCAATTGAGGACAGTGGCAGTCAAGCACTTTTGCCAACCTCATGTATAATAACTCCGCAAATGTTTCCAAAAATTATGAAAATTACGATCCAACCAGATTACTCAATTAATTAATTAGTATCTGTCGACGTCACCAAAGCAGAAGTGATTCGTCTCATACGAAGGCCTTGCCGTTCCACAGGGGGATTCTGGCGGTCCCATGATGAGCAAGCAAGGATCTGTGTGGGTGCTGAGCGGGCTTGTGAGCTTTGGGAAAGGTTGCGCTTTGCCAGATTTTCCGGGCGTTTACACGCGGGTGTCAAGGTACGAGGCATGGATCAGGAGCCACACGAGCGACGGCAACTTGCCAGGCTTCGTCAGTTTCACCTCCCCGGGCATTGACCCAGACCTGTTTTTTAATTGTCCCATCACCACCACGTCGTCCCCTTCCACCACACAATGCATCACCCAGACAAGCTCGACACAAGAATCCTCAACCTCAACCCCAGCATTCCCATCTCCCGACACCACCAACACCCCCACTAGTATCTTCACCCCCACCGACAGCTCAACAACCCATTCTGGGATCTCCTGAAAAGAGGTGGTCACAACACATCACAACAGAGCTCTTCTTCACCGCAAGCACGACGCCACTTCGCAAAAAAGCAAAATAAAAGACACCTGTCATAAAAGATGAAAATGGATCTTCTAAATTGGGATTCATAACAAAAGATAATCAAGGAAGTAATTCATAATAGCAGGTAAGGTAAATATTGTCATTGTAGATTGAAAAAGCAAGAATGTGTTCATGACATTGACTGTATTTATGAAATTTGTAGCGCCACTTTCCTGTGTGCCCAGACTCTTATGGACACCCTGTAGAACACACAATAAAATGACTTTTACAAACGAAAATAAAACCAAATAAAGAAAAATGTCTCGCGGCCATAAAAGTCCCCATCAATAATGCGGTTGTACAAGTTCAGCCCAAAGAATGAAATTTAATTCAAGGGTTCAAGTAAAATTTAGGTCTATCCGCCCTTGAATCAACTTCAACACAAGCCGTGGTGTCTCGGTCTGAACGCTAGGTGGCACTCACGTCATGGTGTTCACGACAGACAGAAAAAGAAGTAAAAAAAGACATGAAGAAGAACTCTGGAGGTTGAATGATTTCTGAAGCATTTTGAATTCTGACTGTGGAGCTGTCAATAAAATGACCACAGAAAGAAATCCATGCCTGGTTGCTGAGAAATTACACAGTACAAACACAAATGTCTGTTGATTGTCCTCTTAGCCACTTTTATCGAGTGATTTGGAAAAATGCCCTGGCGCTTGGTAGTGATGCATTCTTCACATTCAGGCAAACAGCTATTTGACTGGCCAAAAGAAAAGAAAATTGGCTGCCTTTTATGGAAACATTCAAATCAAAGTACGAAACGTGTACATGGATCTAATCCTGTATGAAAATATTCAAACTTTATGAGTGCATGGATGGAAACATCTTTAATGGTTTCTAATCAACAACGCTGCCGATATAATGTGCCGAGTGGCCAACAACGCAACAGAACTACCTTAGCAATGACAATGTAGAACACCAACCCACGATAACGTGTGCTTTCATAATAGCTGGAATACTTGAATTTAGTAGGCAATCCCAATTTACAGCACGGAACAGCCTGGAATTGCAAACAATAACACTAAGAACCTTCTCTTCCTCAACTCTTGAGACCCCCGGTGCCCCTCAGATAAGTTTTCAACGTCGCTTTAATTGATTTCAGACTGGCTTTGTACACTTGCCAGAGTGAGCCCCGCTATTGTTATCTTGAAATGACGTCACACTTTGGGGTTTGTCGCTCGTCAGTATCTCACTTCAGGAAAATGATTCCTTTTTCAAATTTCATCCATCCATTTTCCGATCCGCTTATCCTCACAATGGTCACGGGGGGTGCTGAAACCTATTCCAGCCGTCTTCGGGCAGTAGGCGGGGGACACCCTGAACCAGTTGCTTGCAAATCGCAGCGGACACATAGATGAACAACCATCCACGCTCACACTCACACTTAGGGACAATTTAGAGTGTTCAATCAGCCTGTCGTGCATGTTTTTTGGAATGTGGGAGGAAACCGGAATACCCAGAGAAAACCCACGCAGGCCCGGGGAGAACATGCAAACCCCATACAGGGAGGCCGAAGCTGGAATTGAACCCGGTACCTCTGCACTGCGAGGTCAACGTGCTTACCACTGGACCAGCCTTAAGCCTCAAATCACTCGAGTCATTATTATGGTGATGATTATTATCATTCAAAGGGACTTAAACAGAGCGGAGCAAAACTCAACCACGAACTTCCCAATAATAAGCCGTTCACGACCATCCCGCCAATGTAAAAAATAAAATAAAATAATTCATCCATCCATCCATTTTCCACCGCTTATCCGGGGTTGGGTCGCGAGGGCAGCAGCTTTAGGAGAGAAGCCCAGACTTCCCTCTCCCCAGCCACTTCTTCGAGCTCTTCCTGGCGGATCCCGAGGTGTTCCCAGGCCAGCTGGGTGACATAGTCTCTCCAGCGTGTCCTGGGTCGTCCCCGGGGTCTCCTGCCAGTGGGACATGCCTGCAACACCTCCCCAAGGAGGCGTACAGGAGGCATTCTAATTAGATGCCCGAGCCACCTCATCCGGCTCCTCTCGATGTGGAGAAGCGGCTCTACTCTGAGCCCCTCCTGGATGACGAGCTTCTCACCTTATCTCTAAGGGAGAGCCATGCAAAATAAAAAAATAAATACGCAGAAAAACTCACATTTCTCCAACACCGCACATCTTTGGAAACCTGCAAAGGCTGCAGTGAAAAAAAAATTGAGTGGACCAATGAAACAAAGCTTGAACTCTTACGAGGCTTTTGGGATTGCACAGGTTCATTTGGATGACTACACACACACTCCCTCCATTGAAGAGAGCACCGTGAAGGACTGGATAACGCCGAGGGAATATGTGAAAATTATTGTATTTTGGTGCATCTTTGTTGTCGTGTGGTTAAACTGGGGGTCGACAACACGTGGCTCCAGAGCCGCATGCGGCTCTTTAGCGCCATCTTGTGGCTCCCTGGAGCTTTATAAAAAAATTTGAAAATGGAAAAAGATGTGGGAGGAAAATTTATTTTTTTTTGTTTTAAGAAACATTCTTAAGGTTTCCCAAAGCTGTTAAAATGTGGAGAATAAATATTACATTTCAACGTTACTGTCTCGTTGCGAGGTGGTGGTGGACCCCAAAAAGCAGGCAGGAGAGAGGAGCAGGGTGAACTTAACGAATTGTATTTAATAAAACACAGAGAAAACTGAATCCAAAACAAACCAAGTGCTAACAACCAGAACAAATCCAAAGTATCAAAGAAAACCATGACTGAAGCAAAAACTAGACTAAACGAAACATGACCGGAACAAACATGACAAACAAACCTGACAGTTGCGAACAAGCAAACAATGACCCAACAATGAGTGGACGGGCTGGGAGTCCTTTTAAAGCCGTAATTGCCTAACGACGAACAGGTGTGCAGCTGCAGGGAAAAGCCCCACAGTGCCACCTGTTGGTCACAAACCGAAACATGACAGTTACTTTCAACGAAGACTTGCGTCATAGCCTGCGACACACGTTTCTATTCGCAGGGTGGGCTGCAAGGCAGATGGCTGTTGCAAAAAAAAAAAAAAAAAAAATTTAAAAACGGCGTTTCATGTACAATTCACCGAGGATACTGGCAAAGAGAATCTGGAGGGCCGTGAAAAGCATTTTTAAAACGGTACACGTGAGCTATAATCGTCAAAAACGCTGCAAAAGTGCATCCCATGCCTCTGCGTCAGATCTCGACGAAGGTAGGTAAGCATGCGTCTGTAAATGTGTTATGTCTGCGTGGGTCGATCGCGGTAGGTTGGTTGAACGAAAAGTAGATCTTCGGTCAAAAAAGGTTAGGCAGCCCTGCTCTACAGAATGCACTGCACAGAAAAAAAAACATTTAATCATGAAGGCTCCTCATGTAATTGTAGCAAACTTACACGTTGCAGCTCTGAAAAAAGGAGAGCTGTGGTGTTGGTTTTTTTTAAAACGTCCACTTCATTTATGCTTTGAACAGTCTCGACAAACACAGACACGTCTGCGTCCGACTCCGTGCCTTCTCTCCTCGCGTTCGACTCGAGAGGCATTCAAAGACCGCCTCCGAAAAACTAAAATGAATGATCACTTCAAAGACACGAAGATAAGCTAAAATTATGCACCAAAACAGAAAATCAAGCGAGGAAATCACAGAATAAATTTTATGGGGGTGTTTGTGAACACACAACAAAGGAATTAAGAGCATAAACAATTCTGAGACAGTCCAGTCTCCTACATACATACAGCATGTGTTTCCTTCATTGTAAGTTTTATAGAAAGCTGGTTTTTTTTTTTTTGCAGCTCCAGACACATTTGGGTTTTTTTTGTTCGATATGGCTCTTTCTCTAAAAAGGTTAAGAACCGCTGGGTTAAACGCTAGTACAAAAGTTGCCACACCTTGGCCAAGTGAAAATGATGATTGAGGGTGGAGAACAAAGACGAAGACAGTAAAATATGTTGATCGAGGGTGGAGGAAAACTGCCACCCTGGGAACCAAAATGTTTTTTGTTGGTGCGGCATGCCAAGTCTGGAAGGCAGCCAGGCCAGGTGACTCTGCCTTTTATTGGTCGAAATTTTCCAACACAGGTCCATGAAGGCTGTGTCTAGCAGTGTGGGCATGTCCTGCGGCGGGTATTTATTGACGGTGGCGGAGGTTGTCAGGCATCTTTAAGCTCTGCGGTCATGGATACGCCGATGCTAACCTTTACCGTGTTGCTACTGCTGCGGATGATCACAGGTGAAATGTTTTTCATTTTTTTGGGTTGAGATGGGTCAGAAAAGGACTTTTCCACGCCATCCTTCTTTCATGCATGATGGCCAGAGTGCATGCGTTCGGATAGGTTGTTCTTAATGGAAAAACAGCAAATGATTACTGATGCAAATTATGCTGTGATTGAAGGCAAATGATCAAAATTGACAGGGAAGCACATTTGACTTTCTGCCCCACAGTAGGCTAAATGTTTGAGTGTGCAGGCACCGTTTTTCGTTGGGTTGACTGAGTCAAGACTCGCGACACACCTTTTCCAATGTGTGGTGCTCGTTTTAAAACAAAGGCTGCGTTTCGTCAAGACGCTGCGTTTACTTGTCCGCAGTCAGCACCACACGATTGATTGATGAAGGAAACGAAACGGCATGTGCTGCCCATGAAATGTCAACAATTTTGTATGACATCTGGATGTGTTCTTTTTGTCTTTTTCATCTTTAGAATGCGGAGGGCAACTAGGTGAGTCGCAGCCTCACTTCTTCCCTTCCTTACAACACTTTCCTTCCTCTCTCTCCATCTTTACCTCCCTTACTTGCTGCCTTTTTCTTCCCCCTGACCTCCTTTTTATCCTTCATTTCTTCCCCTCAGTACTTTCCTTCCTTCTCCCGCCAATTCTTTTCTTTCCTTTGCCTTTCATTGATTTATTTAAAAAATATATCCAGTAAAATTAAATTCAACCATTTTGTTTTGGAGTTGCTTTTTTTTCATTTGTCATTTAGATGGTGCATTATGTATTTTACGGGGTGAATGTTACACCTTTGTGACCCACGTCAATGTGTGTGTGTGTGTGTGTGTGTGTGTGTGTGTGCGTGTGCGTGTGTGTGTGTGTGTGTG